GCCCGAGGCTCACTGCTTTTGTGCATGTTGTGCCAAACCATGGTTTAGCATGACGCATAAATGAGGTCAAAGTGTGGGTTCACTTTATGCAGAAACCCATCCAACAGTTTCATTGATTTCATGAGAGGTACCGACAATTTAATTCAAGAAAAAAGAAGTCTGTGAGATGTTTGACAACAGGAAGAAATCAAAAGTGAAAACAGTCATCATCAGTGAGAAAAGGGTGTAAGAGCCATCAAAATCTTTAATCATAATGACCACATTGGTTGCAACAAGACAGTGATTCAACTCCCAGATGGTTTTAAACCAGCTACTGCAAGAATAAACTCTGAACAAACCAGGTATGGCTTAATACAGCACAGTTGCTAATTAGTGTGACTCACTAAGGATTAAGTCCAATTGAACTCAGTGGGACTTCTAAGTAAACGTGTATATACAGCTGCAAGTAATTTAAGATTAACAGAAAGTTGTTATTTGCATAACCCATAGTTAACCTGTAGAAGATGTTGTCAGACAAGTACTGTTCACTTGTTAAGCACTCACATGTTGAAGTAGGATGCATTGAACATGGACATCTGAAAAGGACACCCTATGCACGAACAGTTGCTCATGTGTAAGGATGCCACACAATGAATATATCCAGTTGTGCAGATGTCCTGATCACATGAAGCCTCTTCATGCAAGCAACTCCTTAAACATAGGGTTCCTTTTCAGGTATCCATATTCAATGCCTGGGGCAGTGCTAGCCTGGGGGTGCAATATTGGTCTTGTTTAACCAATAAGCATGTTGTTTAAGCATGTGAGTGCCCTACACATGAGTAACTCATGCACAGGACTTATAGTGTTGCAGTGCAACTGCTGTACAATGGCTTAGCAAAATGAGTAAATAATTATATTCAGCGCAACCTCCAGTTTTACATTTCACCCTAGCAGATACTATAGAATCATAGAATCATAGAATCATAGAGTTGGAAGAGACCACAAGGGCCATCGAGTCCAACCCCCTGCCAAGCAGGAAACACCATCAGAGCACTCCTGATATATGGTTGTCAAGCCTCTGCTTAAAGACCTCCAAAGAAGGAGACTCCACCACACTCCTTGGCAGCAAATTCCACTGTCAAACAGCTCTTACTGTCAGGAAGTTCTTCCTAATGCTTAGGTGGAATCTTCTTTCTTGTAGTTTGGATCCATTGCTCCGTGTCCGCTTCTCTGGAGCAGCAGAAAACAACCTTTCTCCCTCCTCTATGTGACATCCTTTTATATATTTGAACATGGCTATCATATCACCCCTTAACCTCCTCTTCTCCAGGCTAAACATGCCCAGCTCCCTTAGCCATTCCTCATAAGGCATCGTTTCCAGGCCTTTGACCATTTTGGTTGCGCTCCTCTGGACATGTTCCAGTTTGTCAGTGTCCTTCTTGAACTGTGGTGCCCAGAACTGGACACAGTACTCCAGGTGAGGTCTGACCAGAGCAGAATACAGTGGCACAGAATACAGATACTCCTCTAGCTTTTTATATAAACAGCAAGCCCATTGCTAAGATAGATGGACTTCTGGCAATTTCCCTTGCAGCATTTCTTTTCTCATATCTTGTGCATTGAAATATGAAAATGGTCAATGATTTATTTAAGGGACGGGCAAAAAACATTTCTTGTTTTTCACAATAATACCCACAGTACTAAAAACCATGTCCCCCGTTTGATTGTTTTTCTCACTCCTTGAACATCTTTTTGCTCATTCACTTGAACTGCTATCACTTTCAATTCCCCTCAGTGATATCACAATGTAGGCTAATCTGTTTGTCTATGCAGCAGCATTGCGATGACATCTTTTCCCATACCTGGTCCTTGTCTCAGTGGGCTCATCTACTGTATATAGCCAATCTAGGAAAAGGGAAGCAGCAGAAGTAAAAAGAAAAAATTCCAAGCAAAAATAGTGGCATTGACCAGGGACTGGAGAAAAATATTTGCATATTCTAATAAGTTTCCAAGATAAATTTCTGACCCACTGAAATTGGTAGTTTTGTGCTTTTATTTAAACTAATCAAAGCTAGTGAATGACAGAGCCCTCCTCTCCTCACAAAGATGTCACAAACATATTGTAGCATCACCAGACCCTTGAGAGGTAGGCCAGACAGAGAGAAAGAGAACAGTGGAGGGAATTTGAGCTAGCAACTTCCACATTAATGTCTAACATTATTGCACAATATTAGCTATAAAATTATCTCAGCCTGGGAAGACCCAGGGAAGACCTCTGACTAACCCATATGTGAGGGTTGGCCTGACAGGTCACATTTTGACAGGTTAATTGGCAGAAGACCATGGCTCCCTACCATGAAGATTTATAATTTCTGCTTGGGGGCAGAGGGTTCAAACCCTACAGGAATCCATTCATGGAAACATCCTCCAGGCTTGGCTGAGGAGGTCAGCAGCCAGAACTTCACACTTGTGAAGCATCTACATGTAAGCCAATGCTGTTATGCAACTTTGGCTTCTCCCATGTTTTAGAGCAGTTGCCCAGCTGCCCATCCCACTGTGCTTCAGTGAGCCACAGTTAGAAGCCTCAAGTTTTACCAACAGATCAGCTTGCCACATTGACTGCTGCAAGTCATCACTGTAGAGCAGTGGTGGCCAAACCTGGCCCTCCAGCTGTTTTTGAACTACAACTCCCATCATCCCTAGCTAGCAGGACCGGTGGTCAGGGATGATGGGAATTGTAGTCCCAAAACAGCTGGAGGGCCAAGTTTGGCCACCACTGCTCTACAGTGAAGAACATCTCCTACACCAAGAGTAAATAAGCTTTTTTAGTGCAACCCACCATAGCAGATCTGGAGAAGGCATGTGGGGGGAAGAGAGGATGGGGAAATCTCTGTTGTTCTAGTGGGAGTTCTTTCACCAGCTTTTGTTATCAGGACCAGATAATTGAATCCAGTCCATAGTCTCTATCAGTAGGTAGACAGGCTGCTCAGGAAGCCCACAAACTGAGCATTAAAGTGATGGTCCTCCATCCCTTTGTTTGTTCCCAGCATCTGGTACTTTGGAACCCAGAGATACACTGACATTGTACATGAAGGACTGTTTCCTTATTAAGCCTAGGAACTATTGCTAGACCAGTAGATCTGAATTGCCAAAATTCATCCTAGGAGTCACCAAGGAGTAGAGATTTTTTTTTAAAAAAAAAATAGTTAGTGCTCTTATTTTGTGAAGTTCATTAGGAAGTTCAAATGGTTAAAAATAACATTAAAACATATTGTGAGTTAAACGGAAAGAGGCCCAGAGAGTGTGAGACTTTAATTCATAGGAGGCAGGTGTTGTTACAAGGGTGAGAACAGCCCCCAGTCGAGAAGTGTGACTCTGGTGATAATATTTCTTTGAAAGATAGTTGCCCGCTTTTATTTTTCATAATCAAGGTCAATGTGAACCAGCTGCTGCATTAGTGACTGACTAAAAGCTTAAACTCAATCATGTTAATTTGAGGAACTCTGTGACTTTAATGAGAGGGAAGTTAATATGTGGAGTACACAGTGACCTCAGCCCTGGTGCAGACAGCTGCAGGAGGCTGCTTAATTTTTAACAGTTCTTTGAAAAGCCACTGAAATAAATACATGCTTGGGCCCTAAACAACGTAGTAGATAATATGTGCCCACTATTATTATCACCATCATTATTATTAACTGCATCCATGCATTAGCTGCTCATTGGGGTAGAGGCTGGGGAAATTGTGACCAAAGGGCTCCTGCTTCATCAAAGAAGTTTAATAGAAATATTGTTACTTCATGAAGAAATAACTGGATATATGACATAATAAGTGGAAGGCACTGGGCTGGTTCAAAAAAGTTGAAAAAACTGGAAATGCAGTACACATGAATGGGCAGTGAGTCTACATTTGGCAACCGATCCCACATACAGTTCAGAGTGCAAAAGTACATGTGAACGTACTCAGTAATCCTACCCAGAGTCAAATCATGAATTCATGCAGCTAGTCAACTTCTCTGTGTTTCTTTGCGTGACACAAAGAATCATGAACAGCCAAAGAACAACACAACGTGCCATGGAATGAGCAATGTTAGACAGTTCGTTAAAAGATATGAAACCTAATAATTGGATACAACAAAGATAAAAAATTATGGAGGTGCTGAAAAAGTTTGCAAAGTTGAAATGGGCGTACACATGTGGCATGAAATGACTCAGGTTGATGGAATAAAGCAGTGTTAGTGTGAAGACCCTACGATTTTAAAAGACTGGGGGAATGACCACCTATGTGACGGGTGGGTGATCTAGAACTAAAAGCAGGACTTATGTGGATGTAAGAAGAAAGTGATGGTGAGAACTAAAAGAGGCATATATCCAAAGAGGGATGTGAGGTGCTATAAAGACAGGGCAAGTGCAGCAGTGTCTACTCCACCTGCCTTCAGCTCTCCAAAGCTCAAGAAGAACTCTTTCCCAGCATTGCTACCTGGGATCCATCAGCAGTGCATGGGGGAGGGTGGGTGTGAAGACCAGCAGTGGCATCCTCCCAGCAGTGGTGAATTCACCATGGTGAGGCAGGGTGAGGTGTCACAAGGTCGGAGGAGTTCCAGGTTGTGGTAGCCTGCAGGTGGGCACACATTGATGGGACTTAACCTTCACCAACCGGCACTCCCCTGACCTTGCTGCCGCTTCACCCACTAGCCAATGTGAGAGTCAGGATTGGTATTTGGAAATGTGAAAGGGTGTTTGAGGGGCTGATCTAAACCTGCAGTTCTTCAGATATTGTTGAACTGTGATTCTGTTGGATTCCAGTATGATGCTATTGGATTCAAGTTACAAGAAAGAAGATTCTGATTAAACAGCAGGAAGAACTTTCTAATGATAAGACGTGTTTGGTAGTGGAACGGACCCCTTCAGAAGGTGATGGACTCTCTTTCCTTAGAGGTTTTTAATTAGTCATCTGTAATGGATGTGAAGTTTCCTGCATTGCAGAGGGTTGGATTAGATGACTTTCTCTCTCTCTCTCTAATTGTCCAGTAGCACCTTAGAGACCAACTAGGTTAGTTCTTGGTAGAAGTTTTTGGTATCTGAAGAAGTGTACATGCACACAGAAGCTTATACCAAGAACAAACTTAGTTGGTCTCTAAGGTGCTACTGGACATTTTTATTTATTTATATAGATATATTGACTCATCAGACCAACACGGCTACCCACCTGAATCTAGATGACCCTCAGTTCCCCTTCTAACTCTACAGTTCTATAATTATATGACTATAACTTCCACCAGCCCTAGGCAGCATGGCCAATTGGATGATGAGAGCTGCAGTGCATAGGTTCACCATCTCTGCATCAATACCATGCTGCAATGTTTTACAAATACTTTTTCCCCACTATGAGAAAAACTTTGAGACAAGAATATGTTTGTGTGTGCGTGCACGCATGCACAGCAGAATGAGATTTATGTCAATAGAATTCTCAGAGGAAAGGACTTGCATTTCCATAAGGCAAATGGAAAAGGAGGACATATAATAATAATTTATTATTTATACCCCATCCATCTGGCTGGGTTTCCCTACAAATGGCAACATGGGCAGGACAAGTCAGACACTTCAGTAAGCCATCTACCAAGAAGAAAACCGTGTTTCCCTTACAGAGCATTATATTACAAAATTCTAAATTGCCTGCAACATTAAGCATCCTTACCATGAAACGTCTCATTGGAATAATTTAGAATTACTTCTAATTAAGTATGTTTATGATCAGGATGTACATCTCTTCTTAAAATAAGTAACTAATTGAAATAGTTTCCTGAAGTTAACACTTTTGAAATATTTATCCAGACTGTACTTGGAGAAAATAAAATGGAGCTAAAATAAACCTTCCTTGTATGGAAAAGCTGGTAGTTATTGATAAGCAAGAGTACACAAAGCTTGAATTAAGTTCCCCTTTGTAACTGACAGAAAGTGAATACATTGTGGCTTCACTTTTGAACACTGTGGCTTGTACACATAGCTGAACTGAAGCCATAAAATGCAAACTTTATCTCATGGTTACTGGTAATGTAGAAGAGGACTGATTGCCTTTAAATGCTCACAAACACAGAAAAAGACATTATCACAAAAACAAAAGCTGGCAGTCCAATGTTAATGCATGATAAGTGAGTGTATTTTTATCCTGATTTGTATAAAATGCAACTATAAGCCTAAATAAAAAGTTACATTATGAAAAATAGACTGTTGATTACCTTCACGAATCCCCATTTGCAATGCATGGAGTGTAAGAGTTTAATTACTACACTCAGTGCTCAGAGCTTGTTTTCAATATTCACAGAATCCTACTAAATATAACTTTCTGAAATATCCATCACTACTGAGTTCAGCTGGTCACCTACTTTGGGGTGTTTGAGTTGCAATAATGCTCCTTGATTGTTTCTTAGTGCACTTTCAGGACTCATGTGGATGAGTAAAAGATGCCCCAGAACAGCACATTTTATTCTAACACATTTCACCACAAAGTATTAAACAGGTATTAATTGGTTGAATCCTATCAGAAAGATGTTCGCAGGCTTTTCCAGTGGTGTTCCAAATATACACAATTTCACTTAAATGTGCAGTGCCTCAGAATCTAACCCCCACCCACCCTTAAGTGGAAGTTGCCTGTAATAATAACACGCCAAACACACACAAAAGAAAACCAACTCTGTCAGACCTTCAAATTCTGCATATAATCAATGCACAGAAATTTGAGGGGATAGGATTATATGGGCTTTCTCCATGTGATCAGAAAGTCTATTTAATAAAGAGAGCCTATTCGGGTACTAGTTTTATGTATGTAGACTCTGCAGACAAAAAAACAACAACAAACCATCAGCACATATAGGTTGGGGGCGGGGAAGCCTGTGAATGTCTTCTATGCATTGATTTTACACAGAATTTGAAGGTTTCAGAAGGGCTTTATCATCTGCCTCTAGAAGCAGCCACTCTGGGTACTGAATGTAGCAACTCACAATCAATGCATGCTCACAATCTAAGGAAGCACTGGGCAGTCAACCTCTGCTGAAAGATTCTGAAGATCTCCAAGCGGCTTCAGGGGTGCAGTTAAATGAAAGATATGTTTTGCGGTAGATTGGGAATGGGCAACTGGCATCTTGCAGAATGAATGAAACAACCCTTGATCCTACCAATTTTAGTGTTGTGTGTTTGTCTGAGTTGTCTGACCATGATCTAAACTGCTAACACCCAGCTTCTTTCTCGTTTCTATATTCTTTTCCCTAGTTATTGTCAGGAGGAAGGAAAGAAGGCAAAGAAAACACTTAAAAATGAAAGATTCGTATGCCATATCATAAAGATGAGCATTGTAATCACTTCCTTTAAGCAAAGATTAAAAGATAATAAAAGCCCTAATTAAGGATCTTGTTAGCTTAACTAGATTTTCATATGCAAAATGATGTCTGCCACGTGCTGTTTTCATCTGAAATGGCTCCAAATGAAGCACCTGTGCCACTTCCCAGTAGTAGTCCCTTCTTTCCTCAGCAGTTTTGCTTATCTCCCAGAGCAAACAATAGGACTTGCTCACATGGTGACAGCACAACCAAGCAAACACTTTGCCATTAAGTCCACATTGGGGTAGACAGCAGCAGCTTGGACAGCTGACCAGGCCTGGTTCCACCTCATTTTTCAATTTTTAAAAATATTTTTGTTTGCTTATTTCTGGCCCAGCATTCAATTCTAGTCAGCCTTTTAATTTCTGACAGTGCCCTCAAGCTCACATCATTCTGAGGCATTGTAGGAAATCAAAGGGTAGCTATACATAACATCCCAATGCTACCTGGTGTCAAAGGCTCTGTGGCCTTAACAGGAAAGGGACAGCAGGATCATTCAGAAAAGGAAGAGGATCCAGAGGATGGAGTTGGTGAGAGTTCAAGCTCTGGCAAGGGAGAGGGGTCTACCCCTTTGTTGCTGAACATCACACAAAAGGATGGGTAGTCAACTGAGACAGTCCCTACACCATCTCCTGAAAATGAAGCTCCCATGGTAGCTGAGAAGGCAGCTGGCTAAATTGACAGGACAAGACAAACTGGGAGCAGAGACAGAGTCAGAGGACTGTACCCAGGTCCCATCACCAAGGATGTGCAGTCATCTGTACCCACACAAACAGACACTTCATCCACACATGCTTACAAGCACAGTCTTCTAGCTTGGGACAAAGTACCATGTGAACCAGCCCTTCATGCCCCGCTCTTTAAAGTAGAGCGAGTTGAGTGTGCCAAGTGCTAGAGTGATGTTTTTGTGATACCTAGCCATGTATCCCAGAGTTGTGGCTATAGGCTTTTGAACCATGCATTCCTGTACTTTGAGTGGATGCTGAGATTGGGTATTGATCTCTTGGTTTCTTCCTCAAGCTGATAGTAGGAGTACTGTGTCTGAAGGTGGAAGCCAGGACATCAGGAATGTAGCCACCAAAGCCAGGTAAAGCAACCAGGATCCACTGATGGAAAAGGAGGCCCACCAGAAGAACTAAATTTGGAGCCATCCTGCTCTCCTCCATTGTCCCCATTGGGATGACCCTTTGGGGAAAGGCCACAGCTCAGTGGAAGAGTAAGACTCCTCTAAGCACAGTCAGACTTACTTCCAAGTAATAATGCGTAGAATTGTAATGTAAGGGATTTCTTTATCTGAAATTTGTCAAGCCTTATCAACGTTCTCTTGGCTTATCTCAAAACCATTTTACTTTAGGAGCAACATCCAACAGTGCTCAGACATTTCCCATTATGTAACATAGTGGCAACCCTGAGGCACGGAGACCTCACCCAGCCCTAAGAAATTTCACGAATTATCAAAACTCTGCTGGCTTCCCTCGAAATTCATCTGATGTTTTGCCTGAGGAGGAAATTCTTGTCACATTTTCCTCTAGGCAAAATTTCACACTGACACTTCTGATTTTAGGATTCTGGTGTTAGTTCAACCAGACCCACAAAGAAAAGAGGCAAAAAAATGCAACATGCACATAATATCAGTGTTGTGCCAACACCTATCATCCAATTCCTTAACATGTTTCTGCTGCAAAAGAGGCTTTGAGCCCCCCCTCCATCCTCTTCTCCCCCCTGGCACTTTAGAGTTTAGTTAGAATTTCTCTCTAATTTTAGTATGCAGAGTGGGATTGAGATGGTTGTGGGTAGTGTGTGTGTTCTTCTTTCCGTTATATATTTATCATGGAGGATGAGGCTACCAATAGCTACTAGACATGGTGGCTAGGTTCTACCTCCACTGTCAAGAGGCAGTATACCTCTGAATGCCAGTTGCTGGAAATCCACAAGTAGGGAGTGTGCTGTTGCACTCAGGTTCTGTTTGTGGGTCTCTGGCTGGCCGCTGTGAGGACAGGATGCTGAACCAAGAATGTAAGAACATAAAGAGGAGTCTGCTAGATCAGACCAATGACCCATCTAATGTAGCATCCTGTTCTCACAGTGGCCAACTAGAAGCCTGTGGGGAACACACAGGTTAGGACTAAAGCACAAGAGTACTCTCCTCTCCTGTGGTTTCAACAAATGGTACTCAGAAACACTACTGCCTCTGACTGTGGAGACAGCGTATAGTCATCATGAGCCATTGGCCTGATCCAGCAGGCTGTTCTTGAGTTATTATGCTCTCCAGCACTCTGCGGCTTCTCCAGCTGTATGTGCTTCCTGATCTGAAAAAGTCTGATGGGAGAAGTTAATGCATGATGTCTTCCCTTCAGCTTTAATTGAAGCATCCAGAACCAGAGAGGTTGGCCACTGAGCACTTGAGAACAGTACAGCTGTAGAGTTATTTTACTTATTTTCCTTCTTTTTAAGGGAAAGTACTTCTTCTATCATTTAAAAAACAACCATTTCCCACACTGACTTCTTGAAAAGCATTGGACTTCACCCACCCACCCTTTTTTAAAAACAACAACAACAAAAAACAGCTATTGGGTAACAGAGTTGGCAGCCTCCTCACTTTCCTGTGCTTACAGGAATGCCCAGCTGAGGACCTCATGAGGTTTTCTGGAAATGGAGGCAACAGGAAGGTTGCAGAGTGCAGCCCAATGGAGAGATGATTCTGTAGAATGAAAGAAAGGGATCTTACACAAACATCTTCAAGGTAAGCACAGCAAAATTCCTGTACCTCACCTGTGAG